GTTCAAATCCACCAGATGCTCTGCTGGAGAAGGAAAGACAATCTCCTTCTGTACCAGTCAGATCTGATTTGAAGGTATACACACACACACACACACATAATAAAATAAAGCAGAAATAAAAAAATAGGCTTATTGAACTGAGCCCCAGAGACATATTTCAAGCCTGCAACCAAACAATTTCCACATTTTAACTTGTAGCCAAACCATACACAGGTGGAGATAAACACTCTTTAGAACAGGCAACCAGAAGTTTGCAAAAGGCCAGAGTTTTCCTAGGGATCAAGCTCATGAGACAGGAAGGAAGAATGAATGGAAAGGAAAAAAAAAATCACAGGAAGGATGTGGGAATAGTACTACTACAATGTGAGGATTGTAATTAACGTCATAAACCAAAATGTGCATAGATGGCTGAATGAAAACCATTCTGCTTGCTAGCCTTTCCCTGAAACAATAAAACTGAGGTAGGGGGAGGAAGGGAAATATGTGTGGCTTATGATGATGTCCATAAAACCACTGCACTGAAGGGACTTATTCACGAGATAAGACCAGTCCCAACTAGCGTAATAGGTGGATCATGATAGCTATTTTTTAATAAGAAGTCACCAGCATCATGATTTCTTAGCAGTGAGGATATCACTACCACCTGCTTTGCTTGGTCTAAGCCTTAGAAGGCACTGATGAGCACCTGTTAAAGTCAGTCCACCGAAACCAAGATGATCTTCTGGAATGGCATGCAGGGTCTGAGCCATGATCTGGTGAGAGACTGACCACAACAGCCTCCCTGTCCCTCAGAGGGGAGCGGAAAAGGCCAGCAAGTGAGCAAATGTGAGCCATGCCCACAACACACAGAAACCCATGACAGCAACAACTGTGCTAGTGGTTGGCTTCTTGGGTTGTGAAAAGAACTGGCCTCTATCACTCAGCAGCCAACAGACTGTCCCTAGTGGCATCTCCCCAGAGAGTGCACAGCCCACATAGCCCTGGCCCTCGCCTGGCTGTGACGGTCCACCAGTTAAACTCAAAGAATGAGTTGTCTCAAAAGTAGACCAAACTCCAAATACATAGCTGCAAACCAGATGACACATCTAGTTAGTAAGCACATTCACTCAGTCCAGAACAGACAGTGGCAGGAAACCACACAGCTTTAACTGGGTGCTCCTCCAACAAAAAAAAAAAAAACAACCCTGGGGTTTAAAAACAAAACAACAAAAACAAAAAACCATGACAAAAAACCTCATGTGACAAGGTGGAGCAGAGAGAGCCGAACCTGAGCGAGTCACTGCTTGAACAAATAAATGTGCTGCTTTCTTCTTCCTGGAAATGCAAACCAAGAGACCTGCCCGTTCAGGAGCTACAGGTTCCAAACTATGTGCACCTCTGCAGATCAGAAAGTTGACACAAAGTGCAAAGGGATTTGCTACACAAGAGGGCTTTTTAATAGTTTCCAACAGAACACAGATCCTCTTCCCCTTTCCAAAGAGAATAGTCTATATGGCTAGCTACACTGTACAAAATGTTGTTTTAAAGAAATCAATCACTGTCCATCCACCAATCTTAACCTCAACGCAATGAGGTTGATAAAAATGTCATTTTGTTTAAAAAGCCAGCCATTTCTACGCACTTAAAGTCATATATCAGCAGCACAAAATAACTCGCTCACTTCCCGCTGCCTGCACTTTAAAAGCTCTGGAAACGCTTATTTCCAGGATAGCATTCTACGTACTTATGATAAGCAGTGAGCATGACCCCTCAACTAATGGGGTAGGAGGCTGTATTTAAACGAGCAACAGGCTTTCAATAAGATTACAAAATTCACTTGAGTTATTACTAAGTGATGTGGCTTTTTTTCATTTTTTAGACCAGTGTTCAAAATTAAATGTGTACATTCAAGATATCTATGAAATATTCAATTCTATACATTATTTGAGCGTATGTGGCTCCTGAATCTTTTAGCTTTAAAGAAAGACTCAAAAGTAATCTATATGCAGGAAATATGCAATTAAACCGCTTTGTGAATATGGTAAACATAAATCAACCATGTTGTTGTTGTTGTTGTTGTTGATTGCCTTCAAGTCAAGCATGACTCATAGCGACCCTTTGAACAAAAGACCTGAAGTCCTTCTACAACTAACAACATTTATCAAAGTACATACAATTTGTGGAGGCAAATATTTCCATTGTGGTTGGAAATATGACTAGGCCTATTACCATCTCAAACATCAAAAGTTGTCTTGCAAATTTAGCCACCAAAGACTTTTTTTCAAAATCTTGAAAGGAGAAACTACTGCTACTCTTGGGCGGTCGGTCACTATTGTTTACCCATCTCCTCGAGGGTCTTCCCTCAATTGAAAACGCTTTCAGTTCAGTAAAGTCACCAGAAAAGCTGAAAAACACCCACCTGATCCTCATCTCCTGGGAGAAAAGTAAACTCCTTTCTTAGAAGTCGCTTTATAAAATGACTTTAATTCTTTCTAATTACAACTGCAATTCCAAATACTAATTACACAATTTATACAGGGAAGTATGCAGGTCCAAGTGTGGCGAGTAAAAAAAAAAAAAAAAACCAAAACAAACAAACAGAAAAAACCCATGTTATAGGACCCAAGTTTAGGAAAAACTTTCATTAATCGAAATAAACCTGTCCTACTCTTTTCCACACTTTCCATTTTGGACAAGTGCAAAGGATATACTTAAGGACTTAAAAACAACAACAACAACAAAAACCCAACTCATCGTCATAGAGTTGGAACCAACCAGTAGCTGACTCTCCAGGGGGTTTTCTGAGGCTGTGACTCACACAGGAGACTGCCCATCTTCCTCCCTCAGAGAAGTTGGTGTATCTGAACTGCCCACCTTTGGGTTGGCAGTGCAATTCTCTGTGGATGACGCCACCAGAGCGCCCTATACTTATGATTAGCAACTCATTGTTTTTTTTTTTCCTGAATGAGTTTGATAATCAGGGTCACAGCCCCAAAGGTAGGCTGAGATAAACCTTAGGTAGCACCACCTGCTGAAATGGAGGAGCTCAAGTTCCAGAGACTAACTTGAAAAGTACTGTGATTTCGAAGTGCCTTGATAAGAGTATCCTCTCCATGAGTTAGTCCACTCATGGTAAACCTGCAGGACAGAGCAGCACTACCTTATAATGTTTCCAAGGCTGTAATCTTTATAGAAGCAGATTTGCCTTCTCTTTCTCTGGAAGATAAAGGCATCAATAACAAACAAACAAACAAAATCCCTCAAAACAAGGCTACTGGCTTCCAAGGGAAGTCTTTTCAGTTAGCACCTGAACTCTTAATTATTACACCACCAGGGCTGCCAATTACATTTCTCTTTCCGGGTCCCTAATAGAAAGCAAAACCTTTGATCAGCCCTGAGGGACTTTCCCCTTCTTTGGCTACATACTTAGGACACTCTACAATTTGGAAAGCTCTGGAAATGCAAAGCAGCGGTTTTACTTTCTGGAGACCCAGCCTGCATTCCTCTGCATCCTCAGCAGTTTAAGTGGGTCCTGGGGGGGCGCGGGGTGGGGGGAGGGGGCTGGGTACAGCAGACTCTAGCCTTGAACTGAGCCAATCACGACCCTGAAGTTGACCTCTTAGAACAACAAACCGTCCTCCATACACACCCCCCACAAACTTCCTCAGCCTTGTCTCATTTGCTTAGTTGCAACAGAAAGGGCTCCATTTAGAAACAAGGATAAAGGCCCTGAGCTGAAGACTTTGACAACTTTCCTCCGCGGGGGAGGGCTGGCGCTGCCCTAGAATCTCCCAGGAATGAATGCTCGGTGAGAGATGGGGAGAGGCAGGAGGGGAGATGAGCAGAAGGAATAGGGAAAGGGGTGGAAGGAGGGGGTTTAGGGCTCAGGATGATCCGAAGCCCCGCAAAGGAAAGCTGGGACTCCGCCACCACTGACCCCTTCGGTCATGGTCACGGGATCGGGCCAGTTGGGGGCGGGGGTCGCTCGGTCCACCGGCCCAGCCAACTCCGAGGTCTACTCCGTGGCCATTCGGGACACTCGCATGTTGCTGCTGCACTTGTTGTCTCCCACTGCCCTCTCACGCCTCTCCTTTCCAAGGCGATGTCTCTCTGGCTTTCCCTCTGAAACTAAGCAGGGTCCTTAGCCAAGCAACCGCTAGGACTGGCAGCCGGGGGACGCCCTATCTTAGTCTGACTTATCCCTAGCCTGAGCCCCACTCAGCTGCGCCTCCTTAACCCGCCGGTGGGAGGCCCCAGGTCGAGACTTGCACTCCGGGGTGGGGGGATGCGTGGACAAGCACTCGGGCCAGGGGACTGAACCCCAGGAAGCAGAGCGAGGGGATCAGTCTCTGTCAGCAGTCACAGCTCCCGCGGTGGCAAAGTGTGGCAAGGGGACAGAGGCCTTTGTTCTCCTGGGGCTTGGCGAAGACTGCTCTGGCGAGGCGCATCTCACTTCTGCACGCGGCATGTTGAAGGGTGCAAGCTCCTGCACCCCTCGTGGGGGCGGGGAGTTGGGGAGTAGGGGGTGTGAGGGGAAAAGAAGTGTGGGGGGAGGGGTTCTGCTCCTCGGGCCGGGCTCTTTGTTTGCATTGGGGGCGGGGAGTGGGGTTGAAGGTGGGCTAGGGTTCCGAGAGCGGGACAGATGCCTGAATATGTCACCATGTTGCACCCGCGCAGCACACGTATGCACACTCGCGCACACGCACACATATGCACTCGCACGCGTTGCGGCCGGCCAGTGGCAGGCGGCGTGGTGCCCTGCGCTCCGGGCTGCAGCAGCTTCGGCAGCCCGCAGCGCCACCACCGTGCGTCCAGAGGGGGAGTGGAGGAGGCTGGAGGCACTCGCGGGGCGACAATTCCGCGAGGACGGAGAGAAAGTGGTGCAAGCCTAGCCAACCCCCCCACCCCGGCGTCTCCCCACTGGTCGCCCGGGGTCACAGAGGTCACGGGCAGCTTAGGCTCCCAGCAGGGAGCCGCCGCGCGCACGCGAGGACACCGCGGGAGGAAGCCGGCGGGCTTACCCTTAGAAGCATCTTTCTCCTCTTTGGGCTTGGTCACCTTTCCACTCATAGATCCCAGCTTGCTTGACAAGGGTCGCCCAGGAGACGGAAGTCCTCGCCGAGCGGGCCGGACTTGGGAGAGCGCTTAGGGCGGCAAGTGGCGACCGCGAGCTCCCCTCGGTGTGCCTCGGCCGGAACCCGCTGTTCCCCGCCGCCGCCGCCGCTGCCTGCGAGAGAGTGGGGAGGAAAGGAGAGGGTGAAGGAGGAGCCGCCGCCGCCGCCAGCCCAGCGGCCGGCCGCGGGAGGAGCCGCTCGGCTTGTCAAGAAGTGCAGACAAAGCGGCGGGCGCGCCCTCCGCGCCCAGCGAGCGCCGCGCTCCCCGGCCCGGGACTCCGGGCTCCCCGGCCGCC